GCCCACACATGAAGAGCTGGCATTGATGGTCATTATACTGCGTGTGTGCCTCTCAATGAGAGTTAACACAATCGAAAGAGGGGAAAATTTAAATGTTATATTTTTCTTCAATGTAACAGTAGTGAATCTGATCTACTTTCAAAAGCAGAAAAGGCCAAAAATTTGGATATGAAGTCAAATCAATTCACCAAAAATCTAGTTGTTAGAATGCTCTGTTTCAAGTGATGACCTCACACTTCAATATTTTTTTTTAATTGTCAAACAAGTGAATTCAGAAACTGTTCTCAAAAAAGAAACAAATTAATGAGCAAGTGACTATTGAACATTATTTGGAGTTTTGGGTTCCTTTCCATTGAGAGCAAGAGCTCTTGGTAGAATGGAAAAGGTGGCAGAGACAAATCTGTGGGAAGTTTTATTAGAATTAAATTACAGTTACTTTGCAGAATTTGCACAGGACGACAAAGTTTATGCAGGAGATAGTTATCCTGAGGAGTCTGGAAACGCCATCCTTCTGCTGATCAAAAATCAAACATATACTCCAATAAATACGGGGTAGATCAGTGATAACAAGGTGTAGAGCTTCAGTACTTCAGTACTTGTCTCATCCAAGACCATCAATATAACCTCCTGAAACAAACAAAAAAAAATCCTCCACCTACCCCTTTCAGCAAACTGCCATTTTACTCTCATCTCCTTTCCTCTCCCAAATTCTTAATGTGTTAACACATCCCGAATCAGTGCCTGTTTTGTTCCACTCCACATTTAAATTTCTCAGATGCAATCTGTAGCTCTGCAGCAGCATCACAGTGGCACTTACGGAAGTTTTATGAAATCTCTGATGATTATGGCTAGTCGGCATTATCCATATCATTCCCCTTGATCTTTCCTCAACCTGTGAAACTGGCTGGCCACACCATTGTTATCCTCTTTTCTGATCCTGTCTTGATTCCACTCTTATCTGTACAACTATTGTATACACATCTCAAAGTAATACCTTCAATGTGTTTCTCCAGAGGCTAACAAAATCCAACCCACCTCTTTAAATCTGCCTGCAGACCTCGAATCAGCTTTCACATGCAGAGATAACACCCAATTCTGTCTTTTCCTTGCCTGTATGAGCACTTCCCAACAACTGCTTCTGTATTGTCAAATTTCTCATCCACTTTATAAACTCGAATAAACTACTGTCTCCAGTGAAATGGTCAGAAAAAACTGAGCCAATCTTCTTTGACTGTAAAGTACCACCTCTCTCTACCTATTTCATGCCCCTCCCTAGTCATTTTCACAAGCGGAAACATAAGGCTGTGCCATTTTGCCTACTCCAATACTGAGCTGAGTTACTGATCCCATTATCAGCTCCATCAAAAAAAGCCATGTAATCTCACAATGCTAAATCTGCTCTATCTCCATCCAGCTGTCCCGGAAACTCCCAATCATAGTGTTTTCATCTTCAGACTCAACTGTCCCATCCATCCTGTACGCTCTGCTACTCATTACCTTTTCTACATCAGGTCTTGCTTAACTTCCTGGTCTTTGTTTTGTCACCTTAGCTCCTGAAATCTCAGTGTCTCCCGGGTGATCACAGATTTTTTAGTAAGTGAGGATTGGTGAAATTTAGCCTTACGAGGCAAGTCGATGAAGGCAAAGATAGTGGTAATCTGGAAGAGTCATAGAATCTCGTAAGTGTGAAAGCAGACCATTCAGCCCATTGAGTCCACACCCGACCTCCAAAGAACACCCCACCAAGACTCACCCATCCCTGTAACCCAACATTTCCCATGCCTAGTCTTCTGAACCTGCACATCTCTGGACACTATGGGCAATTTAGCATTCACCTAAACAGCACATCTTTAGATTGTGGGAGGAAACCGGAACACCTGGAAGAAATCCATGCAGACACGGGGAGAATGTGCAAACTCCATACAGACAGTCGCCCGATGGTGGAATGGAACATGGATCCCTGGCACTGTGAGGCAGCAGTGCTAACCACTGGGCCACCGTGCTGCCCCAATCCTACTCCAAAGATGAAGAATATTTCAAAATGAGATCGATCAGCCGTTATTAGATAAAGGTTTTATCTGTTTGGAACTAAGGTGAATAAATGCAGGTCAGTTAGTGATTAACTATTATCTAAGCAAACAGTGGAGAACATACAACACTGATCTACCCCAGAGATACTAGGAACTTCCGATGCTGGAGTCTGAGATAACAGAGTGTAAAGCTGGATGAACACAGCAGGCCAGGCAGCATCAGAGGAGCAGGAAAGCTGAGGTTTCAGGTCTGGACCCTTCTTCAGAAAAGGTATTTCTGAGGGGAGGTGCCAGAAGACTAGAAAATTAAAAACACGACAGCCTTGTTAAATAAACATTTATCCTTGTGAGGATAAACCCAGCAATTATAGACCAGTCAATTTAATGTCCAAGCTTCTAAAGCTTCTAAAGATAATTATTCAGGATAGAATTAGTAGTTAAATTAAGAAAGGTGGGTTGATTGAGAAAAGTCAGCATGGATTTCTAAAGGGAAAATTGTGTTCAACTAACTTGCTGTAGTTTTTTGAAGAGGGAACAGAAAGGCTCAGTTATGCTTACAAAAGAAGCAAGGGTGAAGTGAACATTTAGGGTACAGAATGGACCACCTGGAAGTGTGGTGGAGGCGAAATTGAAGGGTTTAACAGAGCACTGGATGATTATTTGGATAACAGTAATGTACAAGAATACAGGAACAAAGTCGGAGATTGGCACTAAGTAATGATGGTCATTTAACAAGCTGGTGCAGGCACTGAAATAACTTCACCTGAGGCCGGTATCCTGGCACCAAGTCACCCTTTATTTGCATATGCCGAATACATGACACTGCCATAGCTAGCTCAGAGCTGGCTGCCAGCGTGAACTGAATCCCTGATGCTCCTGTTTATATCTGTTAGCCAGGGCTCTCCTAATTGGACCAGGTTAAGAGCCCCAATCAGTGAACTCATATTCTATGAGGTCCCCCTGGCTGACCTCATTACCATCCCTTATTTTTATTCCTTTATGGGATGTATGCTTTGCCGGCTGGCCAGTATTTGTTGCTCATCCCTAGTTGCCCTTGAGAAGGTGGAATTGCGCTGCAGTCCATATGCCATAGATTGACTCACAATGGGTCAAATGGCCACTTCGTGTGCTATAACGTTTCAGGCTAAGAGCTATATTAAACAGTGGTAAAATTATCACTAATAGGTCTCATTGTGAAGCTTTGGCATTCAAAATTAAATGGTTTATTTCTCCAAATCACCACAGCAAACACACTTTGAAGTCCTTCACTGTCCATAAAGCAATTATTAATGTCCCAAGGTTTGTGGTAACCTATTTACGACTAAAAGTATTTTTTTTTCTCGCACATGAGCTTTATACTTCTTTTCTTTCAACCTACTGGCAATGAAAAGGGCTGCTCAGTAGATAAATGTAATGCAATCCTAAGAGGTACACCTCATGTTAAACAAATACAGCTGTGAGCTAAAATATGCTGGGTTGCATAATGAGAAAAATGCTATTGAACAAAGCAGATTGTAAATAATTAGGCTGCTCTGCGGCTGGATTAAATTTGGAAGCAAAAGACTGAAGAGGGTTTATGTAAAGTGTTCTGAACATTTTACTGAGTCAAAGGCTGCACTCACTCAGCATTCATCTTTAGATTAAATCTGTCACTCTGTTTTGAATTCTGGAGCTCTCCAGGTTTCAATCTGTTCCCTGTTAGCTGTTCATGCAATTCCATATATACAGTAAACTACAATACATTCTCACCACTTGATCTCTGGGCTTTCTGTCATAGCATCCAAATGTAAAATTAAATCAAGCATGTTTTCATGAAAAACAAGGATCAACAGTAAGTAAATTAGGAAAGTGTAGAAATCGTACTGACACAGGAAAACTGGGCCAAAAAACTGACACTGAGGAGTAATTCAAGAGAACTTTTGCTATTAGAATGTCATTGATATGAAAATTGATATGAAAGCAGGAATGTAAGTGGGCTGTTGTGCGAAAGGAAGAAATGCAATTGCTGCAACTACACCTAAGTACTGCATACAGCTTTGGTCTTTTTTCTGATGAAAGAATCGACTTGCCTTAGCAGGAGTGCAATAAAGATTGATTCCTTGGTGGATTTTGTATGAGGAGTATGGGCTGATAGCATCCAGAAATATGAAGAACAAGAGGTTAGCTCATTGAGATATGTACAATTCTTGAGGAGTTTGTCAGGGTTGTTGCCATGAGGATGTTGTCCCTGGAATGGAGTTTATTCTAAGGGCATAGGAGAAGAAGGGGTCAGCTATGTACAGTAAGATGGAGACCTTCTGCATTCAGCGATGTATGAATCTCTGGAAATCTTCACCTCAGAGGGCTGTGGATATGTTGGATATATTCAAGTAAAATACCAAAATGGATTGAGGAATCAAGGGCTATATGGAGAGAGGAAGAAAATGCAGAAGATGTACGTTTTCAGCCATGATCATACTGAATAAAGCAGCAGATCCAAGGGGCTACATGAGCTACATTTTTCCCCCATTTCCCTTCTTCCTTCATTCTTATTATACTAATGCCAAAAGGAGTGCTACAGAGAACTTCTGCAAACAACCTTGACTACAAATGGAATAACAAGAGTTGCAGATACATTTTCTAAAATTGTGCTACAATGATAATATAATGGACTGCAAGTAATCCTGAAGTTTTAGTATTAAGTATTATGAAAAATTATTGGTTTAGTCGGTGCAGGCTCGGAGGGCCTGTTCCTGTACTGTAATTTTCTTTGTTCTTTGTGCAAGTGATTGGAACCCCAGCAGTTGTTACTGATTTAATTGAAATAACATGATGTAGTGCAATAACCAGCTTGACACATGAATAATAGAACAAAGCTTCATCCATTGCACGTAGACTTGGGGGAATAAGAGAAAAAGCAAAACACAGGGAATTTACGTTAAGAGTTACTGGAATGAGAGGAGAAATTTGAGCAATCGCACCTGTACTGACCTTGTAAGTGAATTTTGTTCTCAGGACTTTGTACCAGAACTGAACTGACAGAGTCTAGGTTGTCATAGTTACTGCATCCAAGAGGTCCTGTTCTGGTTTCAGTTACCTGGACAATCAGAAATAGAGGAAAGATTATCAGTGAAGATCTTGTAGCCTTATAGATCTAATCATATTACAGAGGAGTGAATTTCCACTTTTGTAGTGCTTATGTTGCAATCCAGAGATTTTTTTGCTGCAAGGGATGAGTGCCGTGAGGTTTGAAGGAAGAGTACGTGATTTTGGATATTGGAACAAAAAATTATGAGGGGTCTCTCATATAACACACAAATTGTGTGTTTTTTTTACTGATTTCTTGAAAATCAATAGTTTTATTTTCCTTGCCAACTCCAGATACATAAATCAACAAATTTCCTCCCCATTGGCTACAATTATATAAATCTATATATGAGGTTGGAAAAAAATTACTTACATTTATTATTGAGCAATTTAGTTGTGGATTTCAGAGGAAATTGCAGCAAATATATAAAATTTAAGGGAACAACTGATTTGCATATTTTTGCATTTCCTAAAACTCATGTTAAGTATCTTGTATTGTCAAAAACAGTTAAATTCTGGGCTTTCATTCAGAACTGACTTTCAAACTTCAACTGCAATCAAGATCTTCCAGAACTTTCTACTCACTGTGAATGAATAATTTTGTTTGCTCGGGTAGTGTGGCCTTTAAAAAGGAATTTCCTTGATGTGACCATTTAGGGGATAATGATATAAAAACATATAATTCCCCTAGAATCTTACTTATTGCTTCTTTTCTTGCTTGTAACTGTGTTATATCCTCTTATTTTTGCTGTGTAATTGGTTGATCGATCAAATTATCAAGATAATGGTTAAAGGATTATCATCAAATGCTACATGTTAACATGTTGGTTTCCACAGGTATCTGCTTTTGGCTTCCCATTGTTTAATATGATTGCAGTTGATCGCATGTTAAGAATCATAAGTACACTGACTAAATTTTCAGCTGATACAAGGCTAACAAAATTATAATAATCCAAAGTGCACAGGATATAGATTACAGGTGTATTTGAATAGGGTCAAGAATTGGATGGACAAGCAGGAGATGATATTCTAAGTAGGGACATCAAAGTGCTTCAAGTAAGGATTAAAAACCCAGAGGGACAGTTACTCAAATAGAAAGAAAATACTGGAATAAGAAAAAAGAGATCTGGAGTTTACAATTGACAACAAATTGAAGCTGTCACAACAATGTGCACTGACAGTGAGTAAAGATATTTGGAATGTTACTAAAGTCAACAAGTGACTTTGAATAGGGAGGCAACTCTGCCAGTTTACAGTCATTAATGTAACTATAGTTACAAAAACAGGCACTGATCACCTCAGTACAAAATGAACACTGTAATTATTTCAATGATACAGAAAACAGCACATAAGTAAGTTGCGGCCCAAGTCAAACATAGATACACACGGGAATTTCTAGAGGCATGGTTCTCAAGTCATAATGCAATCAACAAACATATAGAATTGGACACCATACACAAACCTATCAGAAAAAAACCGGAAATGACACAACTCATCATAACGGACCAGACAGTATAAATTTCAAGCAGAGTAGAACAATATCGCTTCATTGGAGGCCTCACTGATGATGTTACCTAGCATGGTGATGAAACATCTCAACAAAAATAAGCCAGCTCAACAAGCAAGTCAACAATCTCACCCACAACACAAGCTACAAATCTTTGCAAAAACTTTAAAAGGGACTAAATAATATCAATTATGACAAGCTATTTCTGCTTCTCTAAAATAGTTGAACAGAGGGAAATAGCAACTGAACTGAATACAAAACTAACCCATAAAAACAAACACTGCGAAGCAGATAACCAATGGAACAGACTAGGAAGATGATTTAAAAACAGCAGTTAGCATTTATTCCTTCAAATAGATACAGTTCTTTCAGAAACTAACATTTTGGAATACAGCAATCTGAATAACTTTAGTAACGATGAATGGAAAGTGTGGGAATAAAGTGGTGACTTTGGATCGATACACTCACTCATTTCTCTGACAACTTACCCCACCCACGTTTCTCTAATAGTCTGCTCTGACCCATCTCTGTCTAACAGTTTGCTCCCAGCCAGCTTTGTCTTTCTTTATCTAACTGCTTGCTTAAACCATAGATCCTTACATGGCTAGCCCCAGTCCATCTCTCCACCTTATAAACTGCTTGTAACCAACTCCCCATTGAACAGCCTGCTCCCACTTAGTTCTTCATCAGACAGTCTTCTTCTATTAAATTATCATTGTTTTATAATAGAGGCTTATGGAACATATTCCATTATTTGACTGAGTCAGCAACTTTGAAGCAACTGGGACCCTAAAGCCACACTATTACATTTTAAAGAAGAAAATACAAAGTTATTATTAATGGAGCACATTATAAAATACTGCTTCTCAAACATGGCAGTTAATCCATCCATGTAAGTCCCTGAAGAGTGCAGTTCTTTAAGCAATTCCCTTTGCACTGCTTGTTCAGCTATGTTTTGCTGAGGTTGATAAGGATATCATCAATTTCTATCAGTCAGTTTAACTGCATCTTACAAGAGCCAGCACCAAAAGGCACAATTCTATTTATCAAAATTCAGAGGTTGGAATGAACTCCTCATAGTCGAGAAAAAAAATCACACTTCATCACATATCATTTGTCAAACAAATGCTGTTGCTAAATGAGGAACAGCCTTGATGTTTCTCGTCTTTTGAGTAGATTTTGCAGTGAACAAACAAGCTAACAATTTGAGGAGGGTGATGCATGTGAATTACATCAGGAACACTGTTTGTCAATCATTCCAAAAAAAATAGACTGTCATCTCTGCTGTTTCACTATGTCTCTTTCTGTTTCAGTTTAATTAGCAAATATCAGAAACAAAAAGATGCCAGGACACAAAACTCATGCCCAACAGGTTTTTCAGAGTGGAAAAATTCAAGTTTATGTCCACAGTCTCAGACAAACCACTGTATTCATGTTTAAACAGGTGATGGCATTGTTCTGAAGAAGGGTCACTGGATATGAAACACCAACACTGTTTTCTCTCTACAGCTGCTACCAGACCTGGATTAACTAAGCCTGTGTTTCATTAATAATTATGGCTTGAAGTATTCCAACCTGGATATGAATTAGGAGCAGGACTAGGTCACCCCGTCCCTCACAACTGCTCACCATTCAATAAAATCATGTCTGACCAGTCATCTCAATCCCACTCTCCATCTACCTCCAAAAGCCTCTCAGCCCCTTGTATTTAGGAATCTATTTACTTTTGTCCAAAAAAATTTAAAAGACTCTGCTTCTATACTGCCTTTCAAGGAAGGAGTTTTGAAGTGGAGTTGAGAATGATCAGATCAGCCCCAATCTCCTTGAATGGCAGAACAAATGCATTGGACATACTTCTGACCCTTTTGGACTCACAACGCTCTATGAGAAAAGATTTTGTTTCGTCGCTGTTTTAAATGGACAGCTGTTGAGTTTTAAATAGTAGCCCTGGTTCTGGAATCTCCCACAAGAGGAAATAACCTTTCCCACATCTACCCCTATCTAGACCCCTATGGAACTTGTACATTTCCAGCAAGTCACCTCTTACTCATGTAAACTCCATCAGATCCAAGTCTAACCTGTCTAACCTTTTTTCATAAGCCAAATTGCCCATTCCTGGTGTTAGTCCGGCAAATCTTCACTGAACTGCTTCCAAAACATTTACGACCAATACAATGCATAGCGTTGAGGTGTAGAGGTGGTCTCACCAGTGTCCTGTGTAAACTGAAACATAAACTCTACATTTATATTCTCTTCTCATCAAAATAGGTGATAACATTCTCTTAGCTTTTCTCATTACTTGCTGTGCTTCAATCCCAACCTTTTGCGATTCATGCATGAAGACATTGGGAACCCCCTGCATCCCACGGCTCTTCAATCTCTCACCATTCAGATTCTGTTTTTATTCTTTCTGCCAAAATGGACAATTTCATGTTTTTCATACTCCATTTTCCAGAATTTTACTCACTCACTTAACTTTTTGCAGCCTTCTTATATCTTCTTCACAACTTACTCTCCAAACTACCTTTGTGTCATCAGCAAAGGTAGCCTCAATATCTTAGCTGCTTTCGCTCATGCCGACTCTCTGTTTCTTAATAGCTAGACAATCTTTTATCCATGCCAATATGTTACCCCTTACACCTTGAGCTTTTAATTTCTGCAGTAGCATTTGATGTGGCACCTTATCAAATTCTTCTGGAATAAGTACAGTACATCCATAAGTTCCCTTTTATCATAGAATCCCTACAGTGTGGAAACAGGCCCTTCGGCCCAACAAGTCCACACCGACCCTCAGAGCATCCCACCCAGACCCATCCCCCTATGACCCTCCTAATCTACACATTTTAGTCACAGCATGTTGCTTCAAAAAACTCCAATAAGTTGGTTAAACATGATTTCCCTTTCACAAAACTCTGCCTGATTACCACAAACTTTTTGAAGTGCCCTCTTATAATTTTTTTATTGATAGTCTCTGCATTTTCCCCACGATAAATGATGGGTCTTGGGTTTTCTGCTTTGTTTCCCTCCTTTTTTTGAACAAAGAAGCTACGTTCGTGATTCTCTAATCTAGTGGAACCTTCCTGAATGTGGGGAATTTTGGAAAATTTAAACAAATGCAGCAATTATCTCACTATCACTGCTTTTAAAACCTAGGATAACATCCATCAGGATCTAAAGGTTTGTCAACCTGCAGATCCAATAATTTGCTCAGTGCCATTTCTCTGATTATTGTAATTTTACTGAGTTTCTCCCTTCCATAAATCTCCTGATTTGCAATCTGTTTCATCTATTGTAAGTAACGGTGGGTTGTAGATTTTAATTTAAGTTTTAGTTAATCTGTGTCTCTAGAGAATTTTTCTGAACATGTAGTCACATACGCTTGCCTAACAAGGAAAAAAGACAATTATTTTCTGTATTAATAGACTATGTTTGAAAAAAGTCATCTTTTGCCATCACACAGGCACACTTGATAATGACAGAACACTGTCAACATAAATTATGCATGGGAACCAGCTATGAGAAGATGCCCCTCAACCATAATGTAATTAAAAAATAAGCAATTAATAATCATTAGTGAATAAAGGCGATTCTTTTTTACTAATCAGTCTCAGTAACTATTTATTTTAAAATGGAGTATTCACAGTGTGAGATACAAATAGGCTGAGAATAGTAGAGAAGGATGCATCTAGAATCTTATCAGCTAAAACTGTCTTTGGGTCTTAAAGCCACAGACGCACAAATGAATAGAGGTTTGACATGCTAAGAGATGATGACAATCTAAATGCTTAATTGGTCTATGTTAAGGCAATTTATGCAGATGGGAAAGACCATTTAGATTAGCTGTTGCTGCATTATTGGCAAATTACATTTTAAAAACAACTTTTAATTAACGAGGAGAAGGGGGATGATTAGTCCCAAAAATAATAAATGTTCCAAGTACCATGCTTTGAGTACTATGTGAATCCTTAGGGCAGATGAAGTGTGGTCCTGCCTGGTTTGTTTGAAAACACAGGCTTTCAGAGTCTTGCTCCTTCTTCAGGTGATAGTGAGAGAGGTGGTATCAGACACAGATTCTTTCAGTAAAAGATCAAAGGGTCACAGAACTGATGCTCACTTGAAGAAGGAGTTAGTGTTTGTGTTTTCAATTAAACTTGTGGGACTATAACCCGATGTTGTGTGACTTTTGACCTTGTCCACCCCAGTCCAACACCGGCACCTCCACATCCTGTCTGGTTTGAGTTTAGATTGGTCACAAAGTGGTGTCTGTTTCATTACAACTAGTCGCAGACTTTCTGTAAATGTGGAAACTTGAGTTTTGAGAGAGTTATTCAGGGACGATTGTTGACGTGAAGCCTTGAGGTGTATTGTCTGGAGAAAGCAAGAGATCTCCTGGCCAAGTTTTGGATCTGTTGGAAGTCTGTCTTGTATTTCTGGTAAGTATAATTTAGTGTCTTTTGTTTGTTACCAAAATGGTTGTGTGTTGTTCGATGAGTATCTTAATTGTTAGCACTTAAAATCTGATATTATTTATTAATTTATTGTCCTTGTCTCACCTGATGGTATATCCCAGTTGTGCCTGAAATATTTGAACTATAGAGTTTTAAGTGGTTAACTTGGGTCTTTTAATTTAGTGAGCTCATGAGGGTTGGGTTAAGCTTGGGGATTCTGTTTACATAATATTAAATTGGGCTTGGCAACCTTGAAGTGACTCTCAACAGCAAGATATTACCTAGTGCTTTATTAGCAGAACTACACAATATACTATACCAAACTGTTGCGAAAATAATCTGTTACCCAACTTAATATGAGCAACGTCTTGGGAAATCTACTGGGATTTTTCAAATGTTGAGGTCGGGCTATTTCTCTCTCATTATAATCAAGCTTATGTGTTCCATAATGTCTGATTCCATTAGAATGGAGCCATCTGTCTCTCAGAATGAAAAGTGATTGCTGCAGAAAATAGACATACCTTTCAGGACTAAAATATCTTGCGTGAATGCAGGAAGAGGTGCTAGACCGATGGGTGCTGTGATAGCTGGGTGAGGGGGTCTGTTAGCTTTGTTGGCTGGTTTGCAATACAGAGTAACACCAGCGGGCTCCATTCCCTCAGCAGCTGTCCTTCTCAAATCTCTCCCCTTGCCTAAGGGGTGGCAATCTGCAGACTAAACCACACTCTCTAATGACATCACATGTGATGTGATGGGGGACGGGCACTGGTGTGATCAGTGTTGTGGGGAGCTAGGGATGAATGGTCAGGGTGGTCCGAGGAGCTTTTTTCTTATTTTTATTTGCTTATGGGAAATGAATGGCTGGCGAGGCCAGTGTTTACGTCTCATTCTGAACTTAGGCAGGGTAGTTAACTTCTGCATTCAAACGGTGCAGGGATACCCATGGTGCCGTTGGATAGGAAGTCTTACTAGACTTTCTCTTACAAGGCCATGTAAGAGAAGAGTAAAGAGTCAACCACATTGCTTTGGATTTGGATTTGTTGTGGGCTAGACTGGATAAGGACAAGAAATTTCCTTCCCCAAAGAACATCAGTGAACCAGTGGATTTTAACAATGGGCTCTAATACTGATACCAGTACTCAATTCCAGATTTGTTGAATGAATTGAATTTAAATTCCCCAGCACCAGGTAGGAATATGAACTTGTGTCCATGTGTATGGGCCTCTTGATTACTCATCTGGCAACATAATTTCCAAACGTCTGCAGATCATGGCAGACTGGACAGTTGGGACAGCATTGACATTTACATGATGAATGGCGATTTGGAAGACTGTTGTAGAGGTGAGTGAATTAAATGCATAGGTATTTATGTTGGGTCATCATCTAGTGGCCATAATGTAATGAGGGCATAGTCACTTGAGCTGGTAATGGTTATGAGACAGAGAAAAAAGAAACGTACTTGTTGAAATGGAGTTAAGTCCTGTGAAGAAGAGAGGTACACTTGAAGGACACTCCTGTTAAAATAAACTGTGATTAAGGGACAGCACTAGCAAAGGCAGACCTGTGCATAGTTTTAAGAGTGGCAATGATTACCTTGATTGCTGAAGAGGCGATCTGAATCTCATGGAGCTTCCGTAATGTGGTCTCACGGTCAATGAAATAGGAAGCAGCCAGTTGGTGGAGTGTGTCCAAACTGATAGCAGAATTATTGTTGAGATCAGTCTTCTTATTCAACTTCTGTTTGTCCACAAAAATAGTCAGTGATTCTTCTCCTGCATAGACAGCAAGGGATTAGCAGTCAGGCTATAACTCTGCTTTGTTGATAAAATGCAGTGTGCAAGGTAATTATATGAGGGAGAAGGGCAACAATATATATTGCTATGTTATCTCCGGAATTGCAACTAAAAGCATGAAGGCATTCATCTCAAAGAAATTGACCTCTGAGGTGTGTTTTGGGAGGAAGGGTCATTGTTTATCTCTCTCTATTCTTACATGGTCACAAGTATGAATGCAAATTGTTTGTGCTCCTAGCTTATGTCCCAATATTTTTAATGAACCTCTTCAAATATGTCATGACACACATCCAGAGCATGTAGGACTTGAACCCAGGCCTCCTGGCCCAGGGGTAGGGGCACTACCATTATGCCACAAGTCCCTCTTCCAACTTCTGTTCAACCGAAAATATTAAATAAATATTAAATGTGGTTAGATCTACTGCCTTGACAAGAGGTGCTTACATTTTCTGATTCTCCCCTACCCAACAAAACCACAATGATTAACCATTATGTAAAGCATATTGCAGCCTGGGAGAGAACTAAAAATAAGGACAATGAAATTCTGAGTAAAATGTCACTGAATTTTAGAATCAGAACATGTGGAAAATATCTTTCCAGTCTAATACAGGTGCTCCAACCAAAAGTTTAACCTTTCATCACTTCAGACCTCAAGTTGATCTCCAGCAACCTATTAGCATTTTCTGATTGATGTTACTCTTCCAGAGATTGCTGTTCTTAACTTCCTTCAATCAATTGAAATGGACATATTGTGATGTGATGGAATAGTTGAGCTTGATGACCTATAAGTTGTATTTTTTCTTCCCTTTCCTCCTGATACAGTAATGCAATATTCTAGATGGAACATGTATATCTCACCCCTTCTCAGAAGCTCATAGTAGGAGGCTGCGGAATAGGTGATGTTTTCATTATTTATCAGAATCCCATTTTACTTCAACCTCTAACTATTGAATTTCATCCTACAAATGTTTCAGTAATCATTACTTCAGATCTATGTCTGTACTCACTGTTGGCTGTTTCCTACTCTCCATAATTGTCTATTTCACCTGTTGCTTTTGTAGACACCTCGCTCACTCTGTTTCTGTTCAAAAGTAAAATGACATTTTTCATTGAAATTCTAGAAATGCAAAGAAGTTCAGTTCTTCCTTCCACCCAGTAAACAATTTTCTTCGGATAATTAACACCACCAGTCTCCAAACCAACTGTATTTGCAATAAAAGGAAAAAGTTTATTTTATATTCTGACATGCGGGGATCAGCACAGGGAAAGGGAGTGCACATTTAGTTCATGTAAGATTGAGTAAAGAACTTAATATTATGATATTCTTATAACTATAATGGCTCGGTTGGAGAGATGCTAATATGAGCCTCCGATCTTGAGCCTCTGAAAAGGGGTGAGATGTGCAAGTCCCTATGTTGGACGTGCTGGGTGCAGTTCTCTTGGCCCAAAAACCTTCGGTGGTAAGGCAGGGCTATCTTTGATTAAAGTGACTTGAATTCAACAGTGAATCAGGTAATATGGTTAGATCACAGCAATCTGTGAATCGAGGTGGCTTCAGACGCAGCTACAGGATAGTGATCTTCACAAATTAAATCCAATTCATTAAATATATTGATTCCACCATGAGATGCAAGTGAAAACGTGTCCAACACAAATTTGTAACTTTTGTAAATGTTGGTGTGTTCACCAAGCTGGGAGGTTGGATAGCAGATGTTTCATCCCCTTACTGGGTGACATCCTCAGTGCTGTGGACCCTCCTGTGAAGCACTGTTGTCTTGTGCGGGTTCAAATTTATATGGTCTGGTTTTTGCTACTTCCAGTAGGTGCTAGTTCCGACTGTGCGTTAATAATGGTCGGCATATCTGGTCTAATTCAATGTGTTTGTTGACAGGGTCCACGGATGAATGCCAAGCCTCCAAGAATTCCCTGGCTATCCTCTGTTTGGCTTGTCCTATGATAACAGTGTTGTCCCAGTTGAAAGTGTGGTTTTTCTCTTGAATACACACAGACAAGAAAAACCACACTTTCAACTGGGATGACACTGCTATCATAGGACAAGCCAAACAGAGGACAGCCAAGGAATTCTTGGAGGCTTGGCATTCATCTGCGGACTCCATCAACAAACACATTGAATTAGACCCGATATGCCGACCATTATAACGCAGTCGGAACTGGCACCTACTGGAAGCAGCAAAAACCAGACCATATAAATTCGAACCCGCACAAGACAACAGTGCATCACAGGAGGTCCCACAGCACTGAGGATGTCACCGCGTAAGGGGACGAAACGTCTGCTATCAAACCTCCCAGCTCGGTAAACACACCAACATCTACAACCACCACCCGAGCTACAAATCTTCACTCAAACCCTGATTTGTAACTTTGTCTTAAGTGGGTGAAGAATAGGGAGATCAGAGAGTAGAATATCAGAGAAACAGGCCCCAATATTTAAAGGGACAGAGTTACAAAGCAGGAAGAATAGTAACAGTCGGAGGACCTCAGGTTTTGCTGATTCTAAACCAGTTTTAGCTCCATGTCTTTGAGAATCAAATTTCTCCAAGTTTCCCAGCTCAATAGTCAAGCTAACAGACAGAAATGGCAGCTTGTCTGATGGGACCATGCTCTGAAGCTGCAGCAGAAAAACATGCATGTTGAATGGGGTGATCAAAAGTGGATGTGGGGGAATGTTGCAGAGGTGGGGTGTGGACAATTCTGAACATTCTTGCTTCTCCTGACCCACAAGCAGTGCCATAAAGTTATTTACCTAAGGGTACAGTCTCTCTTGTATCTTTTAACTCCCTGGCTTCTCAGGCAACAGAAGAAAACTAAAAAAAACCCTTAGAATGAAGGCACTCAGCTTCCATGCAACGTTTCAATGGTGAACTCCCAAACACCTCTCCCCACCTCTGCGCACCCCCCTCCCTCCCAAGTTGCTTGTTGCAGCCTAAGTTGCTTGTTGAAATGTGTAATGGTTCGCTCAAGCCAATATATCTGTTTTGGGAAAAGGGTAAGATATGCCTTAAAATGTTGGGGCACATTTTTAAGCTGGGAGGAGGGAGATTTAAACAAGACATGAGGGGCAATTTTTTTACACAGAGGGTGGTTCATGTGTGGAAGAATCTTCCTGTGGAAATGGTGGATGTGGGTACAATTACAGTGTTTAAAAGACATTTAAATAAATACATGAATAGGAAACGTTTGGAGGGATATGGGCCAGGAGTAGGCCTAGTTTAGTTTGAGATTATGGTCAGCATGGACTGTTTCCATGCTGTATGACTCTGCGACTCTGTATATTATAATTGATAACCTTCTTTGCCTGAATATATACATTATAATCTGCGATTACAAAACAACATGAGCTTAATTTAGACTATCATCACAAAAATAATGGGCTAGGAATATTACTTGTATTGGTTCTTTATTAGTATCACTGGCAAATCACCTAGGTTACCCAAGCTGAATGTTTAAAGGTAGAATTTCTGTTGTGCTCATGTCAGGTCCTAAGGTATTTAACCAGTGTTCCCCAAAGCTTATGGGGTGATGTACAGGGAAGTAATACCCCCAACCTGCTCATGACAGTAACAACTCCTACTAATCCTGGAGAATCCTGCAGTTATGAGCCACAGCAAGACTCCAGGATGTGAGTTATTTATGAACGAAAACAAAGTTGCTGGAAAAGCTCAGCAGGTCTGGCAGCATCTGTGGAGGAGAAAACATAGTTAACGTTTCGGGTCCGGTGACCCTTCCTCAGAACTGATGGTGGCTGGGAAAACGTCAGTTTATATGCAGAAAATAGGGAGGTGGGTGGGGTAGGGAGTAAACGATAGGATAGAGTCTGAAGAGAGAGAAAGACAGTTGGACAAAGGAGTTGCTAACGATCAGACTGGGAGGGTGAATAGTTGTTAATGGGGACTGTTAGTGACTAACAACAGGGGGTGTGTAGTGGCAGGCTGTGTGGTAACAAGGCCTGGTGTGTGGGGTGGGGGGCTGGGACATGGGAGAGCTTAGGCCCTAAAATTATTGAACACAAAATTGAGTCCGGAGGGCTGTAGGGTCCCCAAGTGGAAAATGAGGTGCTGTTCCTCCAGTTTGCATTGGGCTTCACTGGAACACTGTAGCAAGCTGGAGACAGAGATGTTGGCCAGGGAGCAGGGTGGTGCATTGAAGTGGCAGGCAGCAGGTAGTTCAGGGTCTTTTTTGCGAGCAGAATGTAGATGTTCTGCGAAGCGGTCACCAAGTCTATGCTTCATTTTCCCAATGTAGAGGAGACCACATTGTGAGCAGCGAATGCAGTAGACTAGATTCTTGGAAGTGCAGGTGAAGTGTTGCTACACCTGGAAGGTATGTTTGGGCCCTTGGATACTGGGGAGGAAGGAGGTAAATGGGCAGGTGTTGCACCTTCGCCGGTTACAGGGGAAGGTGCCGTAGGGCTGTGGGGAGGTGTTGGGCTTGAAGGAAGTGTGGACCAGGATGTGAATTATTTACAATCAGCACATCATGGGAAGCATGTTATGTCATCAATGAATAAAAAACCTCCTTTGTCTTGACACAATTTTGACAAGATAGTCATGTCATGGTTAATTAAATCATGAATGGTACTTTGGCCAAAAACAAACAGTAATTTGTGTCCCCACAGAAACTGAACACTCTATGCTTTTGTTACAGTAGCAAAAAAGATCGATGTTAAATGTTTGAACAAGCTTGGCTGTTCAAATTTTGACAACAAAGCTAAGCCAAGGTTTGTTGAGATACCAAGTTGCATTTTAGTTTTCCAGAGGCAAAAAGCATTAGGAAATTGATGTTAACTATATTCTGCTCATTCATATAATTTGAAAGCAAACCAGCTAATGGTATAAAACTATGCGTGATCTCGAGGATGAACTTCCATCTGCCTTTTAATGGAAAATTCCAGTGTGATATTTTAATAATTGCTAGAAGGAATAGGAGTGTTCTGCTTCAGTTCCATCCTTTTGGCTATCTAGAAAATGAACAGAAAAAAAGTGAACCTCAGATAGGTGAGAATATAAGACTTGCTGCTGAGGGGTGACTGGTAAAATAGAACTGAGGAGAATATCAAACGCTTAATTTTGCCAATTACCAAAATTAATTCTCAGACCATGAATTCGGCTCCACATCTCTTGTTGACAGAAACTGAGATTCTGAAGAAACACCTAGGAATTCTTCTCCTCAGTTATTATACATGAAGAAGCACAGTCCTCTGTATGATACAGTAAAATGGTTGAATTTGTTTACCTTTGCAGCAGTAGATGGGGGAGGGGGTTATTTTGAATTGGGTTTTGCAGTGTTTTACCTCCAAGTGTTCCAGATTGTAGAAAATGCGTGCCATATTTCTTGATCAGGTTGTCAATTATCTGTTGCGGACTCGGTCTCCGTCCCAACAAACGTATGTTCTTGATAAACTCTGGAGCTAGGGGCAAATCTGAGCCCAAAAAATTTCTTCTTTCCACAGCCAGATTATTCACCTTCCATCGACCAAACTCTCTGTGAACAAATGCACATGGATTACAGAAGTGAATGAGCCAACCTACTATGTTCAGGAGAGATATTGACGGCGGAACATTGCAATCCTAACCATATATGTTTCATAGAGGTTTCTTGCTAAACAGATGTGCACAGGTACCAGGCCTATCTATTATATTTTTGGGGAAGAAATATTTAAATACAATGTATGATCCCAGAGTGGAAATGAATTAGAGATGGAAGAGATTTATGCAGACAAGCTTATCCTCTGGCTCCTTGCTATGCCAATTTAGAGACTAAAGTAATGATGTCTTGAATCTTGCAGTCAAGGATGTTGTGAAGGTAGGTGTATGCTGTTGCCTGAAGTAATGGCTCTGAAAGAGTTTATGTTGAGCTGAATTGAGTACCACCCAACTTCGCCCAGTCTTTGGACAAGAGAAACAATCTTTCTTGCATGATGTTTTGATGTGCGAGATATCATATATCTGCCTCCTAATTGCTGTAATCATAACTGACTGGTTAGGTTAATTGTACCTACAGCTGTCCTACAATAAAACCTATCTTGTTACGTATGACAAGTGCCTCTTCCTGTTTAGACTTTGTGATGCTCTATCCTCTACCACTGATAATTAGATAGACCCTTAGAGTGAGGACAGAAAGGAGGGTTGGCGGTAGTGAACTGCTCTAGCCTCAAGCCATCAGTGCTGCTAACCATATAAATAACCTGCTAGCAGCACTGAGGTCCAAGAATATGGCATACACTACATTTAAACGTAGGTTCCTTGTATCAGAAGTTTCTCTCCTGGTTACAGCATTGATCCATTGGCAAAATGAACAGGGAGACCTATAGTGGACAGGCACAATCATAGTGAAACCAGACATCACATATATCACAATCTGGAGACATGCATCATTGATGTCTGCCTCCAGCTTAATGACAGAAAAGTGTCTTCCATCATTTTAACTGTGTAATGATAGAAAGGGCGCAGTGGAAAACAAGCCCTACTATTACATTCGTCATCAGAAATGGATAAATAATCGCTGAATCTCTAAAATGGTTAATTTACCTAACTTTGACCACTACCTATAATAAAATAAGCTCCCACCAGGTTTCCACCAATAAACAAGTAAACAGATTTTTTTATTATGAACAAACTTATCCATTAACAATTTGTCCTTTAACTACAACTATGCAAACTTAAACCGTACCCACTTTAAATCCATTTGTGCACATATTTATTCACAAAAAATGCAGTGAATTCTGCACAAGTATGTGGAAAACATAGACAAAAGTGTGGATCAAGAATCAAAATTACTAGGATGGCATGAGGTGCCTTTCACTCAGATTTTTTATCATTTTTGGCAATGATGTCATGTTATCGTTGACCGCTGGACAATAGAAAATCCTCACATCAGTGGCCAGTTAACTGGACTTAGGTCTTTCCTTGACTTAGATGTTCTTCTGTTCAGAGTTTTTGGGAGTTAATTATTCTCTACCTCACAGAGGGTGAGATGGAGAGAGGCTTTTACTTGGCTTGCAAGCTCTTTTGGAGGTCTGACTCTAATGCCCTCACAGCTCTGTGGCAAATTGCAATTTAACTAATCAAAAATCTGGTGCCGGGGTGTTTTCTTTTCCACCCAAAGGCACCTAGTGCTGGCTAGTTTCACAAAGTATCAAATCCAGCTTCTTCAAAAGCTACATGACCGATGCAACTCAAAAAAAAAGCTGGGAGCTTCTCTCAGCACAGCAGTATCTAATCTTCAATTTTCACAGTTTATATTTCAAATAAAATATACCTTACTCCTTTTCTTTGACCCATTTTAATCCTTGCTCCCCCAAACCAGTATACTACCATGCAACCACCCCTAGTAACCTCCCCTCCTCCCAAATATAGAAGATAAGTATGTAGGAACTGGAGCCACTCCCATCACTCAATATGATCATGGGCTGACTGAACACTTAAATGCCTTTTATCGACCCCAACCCCATCACTCTGCATACCATTGGTAATCAGAAACCTATCAACCTCTACACTAAACATACTCAAACTCTCAACTTCAACAGCCCTTTCTGGTCGAGAATTCCAAAGATTCACAATCCTCTGAATAAAAAGAAATTCCCCTCGTCTTGGACCTACGTGACATGTCCTTTACTTTTAAGTTGCTTCCCCTGGTTCGAGACTCCCCGATCAGGGGAAAAGTTTAACCTTAAACTATCATGACTCTCTCTTTAAATATTTTATAAGTTTCAATACACCCACTTCTCATTCTTTGAAAGTCTAGAGAACTCAGGTCCAGGTTGTCCAATCTCTCTTCATAGGATAGTCCCACCATTCTGGGAACAGGGTCTAGTGAACCTTCACTACAGTCCCTCAGTGAGATAAGGAGACTAAAACTGCACAAGTGACTCCAGATGCCATCCAATGAAGTTGCCATGTAACTCAAGCAAGACTTTACTACTGTACTCAAATCCTCTTACAATAAAGGTAACATTCCATTAGCTTTCCTAATAATTAGCTGCACTTGTATATTAACCTTCACTATATTGATAAGGGCAACTAGATTCCTTTGTACATCTACACTTTCCACCCTCTCATCATTTACGAAACTCTCTGCACATCTGGTTCTCCTACCAAAATAAATAACTTTACATTTTTCTACATTATATTCTACCTGCCATGTTAGCACATTCCCTAAGCCTGTCCAAATCCACTTGAAGTTGTTTTACATCTTCCTGAACACACATTCCTGCTTAGTCTTGTATCATCCACAAATTCAGAAATATTACATTTACTCCCCCATCTGCAAATCATTATGTATTGTGAAAAGCTGGACCAAAGTACTGATCCTTGCTCTACCGCATTAATCACCCCATGAGAATGACCCATTTAGTCCTATTCTCTGTTTTCTGTTTCCTAGCCAGTCAGTAATCCATGCCAGTTCATTACCTCTTATCCCAAGTGCTTTAATTTTCCAACCAGCCTCCTCTGGGGGACTTTATTAAAAGCCTTCTGAAAATCTACATCTATGATGTCCATTGACTCTCCTTCATCAATTTAGTTTGTAACACCTTCAAAAAACTCTAACAAGTTTGTCAAATACAATTTCCCATTTGCAAGTCGATGCTAACTGTGCCCAAATCATTCATTATTGTATAAGTATCTATTTACCCCTTCCTTTACAATAAATTCTAGCATTTTCACTACTTTTGATGTAAGGCTAACAGTCTGTGGTTTCCTGTTTGTTTTTCTTTCCCTCCCTTCTGAAATAGAGGTGACATTTGCTAGCTTCCAGTGCACAGGCATCATTCCAGAACCTATAGCATTTTGAAAGGCTGCCTTTCAGGGGGGAGGCAATGGCCTAGTGGTATTATTGCTGGCCTGTTCATCCAGAAAACCCAGATAATGTTCAAGGGACCTGGGTTCAAATCCTGCCACAGCAGCTGGTGGAATTTGAATTCAATAAATATCTGAAATTAAGAATCTAATGATGACTACAAATCCATTGCCAATTGTTGGGGGGAGAAAAACCCATCTGGCTCACTAATGTTCTTTAGGGAAGGAAACTGCCAGTCCTCACCTGGTCTGGCTTACATGTGACTCCAGACCAACATCAATGTGGTTGACTCCTAACTGCCCTCTGGGCAATTAAGGATGGGCAATAAATGCTGCCTAGCCAGTGATGTCCTCATCCCATGAACAAATAAAGAAAATACATCAACTACCTCTACAATCACCATCTTCAACTCTCTGGGATATAGACAACCAGGTCCTGGGAATTCAAAACCTTTCAGCCCCATTAATTTCTCCAGTACTATCTTCTTACTAATGCTAATTTCCTTTAACTCCTCATTCTCCCAAGCTACTTGGATCTCTACTTCTGGGAGATTTCTTGCATCTTCGTCATTGGAAATAGACACAAAGTCATCATTTAGTTTCTCTGCCATTTCTTTATCCCCATTCTTAATTCCCTTTGACTGCCAGAAATAAATGAAGAGGTTCTCAACATTTCAAGAGCAAAAAGAACTCTAAACTGTATTCCACCGATTTGACCAGTTACAGGAAAGCTAAAGAGATCTCTCCTGGAGGGTAGAGTGTAGGATAGCAGAGAGACATAACTGAATAATGGCCACTACAATGCAGTTGCAGAAGGGATAGAATGGATGTGAAAGGATGGCACAAGGCAGATGAGTGTAGTATAGCATGGCAGCAGATCTCCTGCCAGGGGTAGCTAAAAGCAGCATCAGTATCTATTCAAGCTATGCAGGATGTGATGTTTTCCAGATTATTAATAAATGATGAGTAGGAGGGAGTTCACATATATTACAAATATGCTGATATCAGGCAAAATGATAACCAACTGATCTAGGAAGAGAAGGAGCGATAGTCAGAATCTACTGAATAACTCAGACTTGCATTGGACAGCCAGTGACTCTTCAACTCACAGCAACAATCCTCCAAATGAGCTTTCCATCAATCCATACCCTTTTGCATACACAGCAACCCAGCGCACTGTCGTAATGACAGGCATAGGCCCTCAAAACATAAATCTTTTGTTAAGCACATTAGTTTTATGTCTAATTCCTGGTAAAATCTTGAGAGCCTATTGACAGAATTATACTGCAGATTGAAAAATTGGATTGCCTTTAGGCTCAACAAGGATCTGTCAACAGATTAGTTGAGAACAACAGCTGTTTACCATTGTGCCTTCAGTAAGTATATGGCAATCAAGTTTGAATTTGCTGTCTTCATTGTCTGAAAAGCTGAATGTGATTTATTTCTTTAGATTTAACTCAGAAGGCTTTTATTGAAAAATATTGCTTTTTTTATACACTAATAATTCACAGGGGATTTATACAAATACCCAAAACTGCTCATGATATTCTGTATTGTTCTGGGGAATGAGCTCACCAGTTATATGAAATTATGAGATATTGTTGCAATGTCCTCAAGTACCCAGCAACAGGATTAAACATTTTAATCAGATCACAGCTGTTCTGTATCTTAACGCCATTTACCATC